CCAGAAGCCCTTAATGATCAGGGTCATTTTAATGTGGTTATTTACATCCTGAAACAATTCAGCATGGTGGGAAACCAGAGAACTGTTTCTACAGAGATAGGCTGGATATATCAGAGTCTACATTCTCTCAGGTCTCACTTGCATCAAGTCAGCTTAGGTCCACTTCAACGTTTTTCCATGTCAATCCCCAAATATAGTGTTGGGCCTTGACACTAAGAGCTGGTAAGGTACACAGGTTCCTCTCACATCAAGGATTCTCTACTAAAGGTGACTACTAAGTCTCCTTGAATATGCAGAAGCTAAAATATAACCTGATAATATGATATTGTAGAAATTCTACTATTAGTTATGGAACAAGGTATTGTGACCATTTGCACTCTTTGGAAAGCACTGAAAAATGGTACTTTTAAAACTCCTGATTAAGAGGGGACTGTTACACAATTTTAGAAACAACACAGAAGTATTGTTGGCTGGCTTCATCTTTTTTGGTGTGAGCCAGCCTCTTCAGCAGCACCATTGATATCATCTAGATAAGAGTATTAAGAACTTTCATTTGCTGTTCTAGATCTTAAAACCAGAAAATCCTATTTTAAAGTCCACTTCTCATCAGCTTGCAAAAATCTAAAATTGGGGGCTTTCATAAAAGTGAAATTCAAGATTTAATCTAAATTATTAATATCCTGCAAATCCATTCTGCACAGCAAGCACAAATTAATGAAAAGGCAGATATGTAACTGAGCACATTCCTAGCAGGAAGGTTTTACCTTACACAGTTCTATAACCCAGACTCTGCACTTCAGGACTGAATGAAGAGCTGTGCTAGTTAACAACTAAAACTGGCAGGTTGATAAGTTTTTCCTATTTACTGCATCTCAGATGAAGCAATGGACTTAGCAGGTGACTTTTTTTGTTGAACATGAAGTTTACTGTCATGAGGATGCTGACAGATACGCTGTATCTAAACATCACCTATTTTAAACTAAGAAACCAAGGCAGCAGCCAGAAACAAGTGTCTAGTAAAGTATGTCAGGATTCCCAAAACAGCAAAAGTAAGCAGTTAACTGAATGCACAACAAAACTGTGTATTTTAGTATCACAGGTTTAAGCTAGAAAAAAGGGCTTATTCACATACTTGTACATGCTTATGTAAATTGTAGAAGGCATATTAACGAAGGTCAACAGATGAAGGAGTTGTAAACGCAACTGCTTCACATTAAACAAGGTGAAAGTTGAGTAAATACTTACAAGCACACTCTTCTTCAGCTGTACAGTTTTGATACTTTGAACCCACTTCTTTTTCACTTACACACAGGTCTTCAGTCACTAAAGAGGAGGCAAATATTTACAGCAGCAGAACTTAAGCATTTGAGACATTGTTCCTAAATACTAATAAACTGTTCATAGGACAAACTAAACACCATCTTCAAGCCAGGACAATATTAAAACCACTTCAATATGCCAGACTTCAGTATATCAATAATTACAAAAGTTTTAGTATTTTCTTTCACTACAGTTATTCTATCACTCAAATCAACACTTAAGCAATGCTTATAATACATGGTTATGCACCATTTTGCAGTAACAGTATAGCTTAATATTTTTGCTTCACAGTCTATTAAACAAAGTTCTACTATTTGTGGCATTTTTCAAGTTAACATTTTGCACCTCTACGGCAGCATCATAAAAAACCAAATCCTACTGTCTTGAAAAATTGTACATGCAAGCAAAACTTAGTTCCAGCTTTTCACACAGATTCTTGACCTTGAAATTCTAGAAGACATCAGTTTGTTGTTCTCTGCTGTTCTCCCCTGACTCAGATTACAACCTCTCCCTCCCAGAAGTCATACAGATCTCTTGCGTGTTTGCAGTATGTGCCTGTTGGTCAGACAACACAGGCAGAATAAAGAAAGAGAGCTTCTTGAGGACACTTCTACTGGACAAGTTACATCCAAAATTCTTTTCATTGGTTCCAAAGCATCTTAGACGTCATATATAACCTTTCTTGGTCATCCAGAATCAAGTGCTATAAAAATCGCTATTACAGTCAAGCCACTCTCTCCTCTTACTCTGTTTCCACCTCACACAAGAGGTAAAAGGACTCACAGTCTGCCCAAGAACTACTCAGTGTAGTCTTTGTATGACTTTGTCAACAGTAACTTCATCTCCTCCAGGACTGAGCACCAAAGGTCACCTAAATGTAGTTACATCCAACTCTCCTACAATGGGAAAAACAAGGCTCTGAAAGAGGCCAGCTAATGCTTCTTTGGCTCTCATGTTCCCTCCAGTGGGCTGCAATCCTTGGTTTTAGGAACATGACTCTTAACTAATCTTACTTAATGAACTCTTCTCTCCTGTTGCACTTCAGTTCAGGAGTAGTGGTTGTGACCAGGTCTATGACAAAGCCTCAACAAGGATGACACAGAGCCTCAACAGAGATGTGCCTGCATGTCAGACTCCACTCATGACTCCTTAACAATAAACACAAGTGACTAGTTAGTTCTAAAAACATCTTGAACCATCTGGAAGACATTAGCCTATCAACAACACATATTTAAATCAGAAGCCTTAAAAATCTGAGATTATTTTGAACTTGCTCAGCAATCTCCACATAAGACTTTAAATGTTAAACTTCAGATACAACTTATGAGTTAATGCTCCATTAGGTTATCAAACACAATAGCATATTTATGTAATGAACATTAATACAGATGAAGTCAGTCTAGCTGGGTTTAAGGTTCTGCACAGCACAGTAAGGATATGCACTGTGTAGTCCTCCTTACCTGCACATCTGATCCACTTGCAGCCAGTAGCTGTGCCATTACCAATACATGAACTGCAGTTAGAAATGCTTTCACAGGACTCTAAAAAAAATTTAAAATGCATCGATTATGAAAAAGTTACCACTGTCAAAAGAGCAACTTCACCCACAGAAACAACTCTTAGATCCATACCTTCCCATACATACATCTCTCGGGTTAAGGCACAAACCTTTTCACTGAACTAACTACAACCAAAGGTACAACACAAATACATTTCCCTCCAGACACTACTGATACTCTGAAACCAGACCCCACACGTACACCAAGATTATGCTTCATGAAACCTCCAACTACAGGAAACCCAGATAACAGAGGGCATACTACTCTAGTGAATTTATCATAGTCCACCAAATTAATTTTGCAGAAGTCTACTGAAACCTCAGATGGTAACAGCTTTGTTCCTTTTGATTACATTTTTCTTTTAGGTAATCCAGCCAGCTATAAACAATCCTACAGTAGCAAGCAACTACAAGTACTGAAAATAAAGACAAGAACCTAGAGGACTTCCTATACAAATGCATATCTAGGAGAGCAGACAGGAAGTCAATCTATTCATATTTTGATCACAGCAGAAGCCAGTAACCTAACCAGTCCAGCTGCTTTTTATGTCAATCTCAGCCAAACACTGCTGCCTTAAAATCACAATAACAACACATCCACTATCTGGATCAAATAAGATCTTCTCACAATATACCATTTTACAGCATTAGTTTTAAGACTTACTCATACAGCCATCACACTCAGCAAACCCACGAACAACCCATACCTCCTTACACAGTATAGTCTCCAGCATATTTCACATCACATCCACCTACTCCAGGCACCTTTGGATGACCCTTCACTTGATTCCCTAGTGAGGGGATCACTGCTATTCACAGATCTTTGGCAATCAGCATAGTAATTTACATCTCAAGATAACAACCACAAATGCATTCACTAACTTCAGTATTCTCGTAATTTGAATTAAGCCTGAATCCACCTGGCCTTTCTCTTGGTTATGATAGAAAAGAAACATAAGATATATGGAACCTGTGTCCAATTCTGGGCTCCCCAGTCCAAGAAGGACAAGGAACCACTGGAGAGAGTCCAGTGTAGAGCCATCAAGATGATGAGGTGACTGGAGCATCTCCCATATGAGGAAAGGCTGAGAGAGCTAGGTCTGTTTAGCCTGGAGAAAAGGAGACTGCAGGGGGGGGTCTCACTAATGCTTATAAATATCTAAAGGGTGGGTGTCAGGAGGATGGGACCAGACTCCTCTTTGTTGTGCCCAGTGACAGGACAAGGGGCAATGGTCACAAACTGGAACACAGGAGGTTCAACAGTGCACGGGAACAGGCTGTCAACAGACACTGTGGAGTTTCCTTCTCTGGAGACATTCAAAATCAGCCTGGATGTGTTCCTGTGTGATCTTCTCGAGGTGATCCTGCTCTAGTAGGAGGTCAGACTAGATGATCTTCAGAGGTCCCTTCCAACTCCTAACATTCTGTGATATGAAAAGATCTCTGTCGATTTGCATCAATGAGGTATGCAACAGACTTGCCCTGTTTCCTTCAGAAATAAGGCACTTAAACAACTTCAGGACATATATAACAGTTTCTACATAACAGATTTCAGGAAAAAAAATAAATTATTTTTATCTGAAGAAAAAGAAAAATCACAGTATGCACAACAGTCACTTCTGACAAATGAACAATGTTCACTTCTGTAAAGCCTGCACTGGTATAAAGAAAATACAGCACAGTACATCTGTGGAAACCAGAGGATGGCCAGTGCAGTCAGCTAATACCAGGTGCATCAGGACTTTTATTCTGCTTTCACAACAGATTTGCCATAGGGGAGGAACATATTTGCAAGAACAAAGGATCAGGAAACATTTTTATCACAGTAAAAGGTTTGAAGAATGAGCTGCTAGCTTCAGAATCAGCGGCAAGGTGTCAGGTGTCCTCCCAATGCTACTCCTGCTGTGAAAAGCTCTCTCAAGGTCTTTGAGAGGTAACAGCAAACTCTCCAGCTCTCCCCATCAGCAGGTGCCTGGTCTTCACTGAAAAAAATGACTCAGATACCATGAGCTCAGCTCTGCTCCCAGGATAAACCTGTCTGTTGTACTGGCTCTTACACAGGGTAAATTCTGATCTTCCCCCTACACTCGAGGAAGAAATCTGGAAACACTAACAGAAGTCTGTCCTGCTGGGCCAACACTGCCCTCTCCTGCTGCACCAGCGAGGTTGTTAACCTCTGACTCTTAGCAGCTCTCAAGCAGCGCACGGTTTTGACAAGGTGCCCGATATTGGCCTACATTACGTTGGCGGTGGCAGGGCTGAAGAGGAAATCTGGAAGGGCTGAGGCAGAGGTTACTGGACAGCTTCACACTTAGCTGCACGCAGCGCCATTATGCAATGCGGTCGGAGGACATTAAAGTACTTCCAAAGCAACTACTTCCCGTAGCTTTTTGGGGCATGCGGCACATTTTGTGGCTCTTGGCAAACAGCTCACGCTGCCAGGAAGATCAGACAAACCCAGAGAACGAATAACGATAACAAACAACCGGCCGGAGTGACAGAGCAACACTGCTTACACAAGCAACTCCGGCAACTTGACCCACACTAAGTTTGCGAAAAAGTAAACGCACCGCGTCCGCTTTACTGGACACAGCGCTACCCACTACTTATCACTCGCTGCGTAAGAAAGAGGATACTGGAGGTGGTGTCAAACCGGATTTCACACCGCACGCACCCAAGCACTCTACGGCGAGGGGGAAAACGAAACCGAGAAAAGACGGAGCCCGAGAGAGGCGGG